TCTATAGTCATATTTATGTATTTTACGAATATGATTGTAGTCATATACGAATATGACGATTGTTGAATATGACTGTAGTCATATTCGAATAACTAGATTCAAAATTGGTATTTTTTGTGTGAATTTTGATTGGATTGTTTTCGTAAACAATAGGGGAATCTTCTTTGTTTTATATAATTTGGTAAACATGACTATACCACATTATATAATCGAAATTTTTAAGTTGAAAATATAAAAAAATGCAATATAAAGAAAGAATATGTCTATATAGTCACATATAGTCATGTTTAACTATAGTCATATTCGGAGTTGTAAATCTTTCAAGAAAAAAAAATTCAATTTTTTATTTAAAAAAAATTTAAAAAAAAATAAATTTTTTTTATTAAAAAATAAAAATAAATGAAAATGGCTAAAAAATCCGAAAATAATAAAAAATAAAAAAAAATAATTTTTTTTTTTGATTTGGTAGCAAATTTTTAGGAATTTGGAAGGAGATTTTTAGGAATTTGGAAGGAGATTTTTAGGAATTAGATTATTGTTATGGAAAGAGAGAAAAAAGGAATAATTGAGACTAATTATCCTAATTGACATAAGGGTACAATTGGGAATACAAATTCTAGGGGACTATCACAAAGAAAGATTGAAGGGGTGGACATATCACCATTTATTATCTATATGAGGGGTTTATTGCTAATGACCCCATATATATATATATATATATATATATATATATATATATATATATATATATATATAATGGGTGCAAATTTAGAGCGGATGGTATGTTTTAATTGGAAAATTGGATGCCATATGATGATTGACACATGGATAGTTTAAATAAAAATATAATTAGGTTTATAATAATTGGAAGAAAAAAAAAAGGAAAAAGAAAACTCAACAGAACCCATAACCCTAATTATAATCAGCGTAATTTCTTAAGAGTTAAAACTTAAGAGTCCACATGTCAAAAAATTAGTGGAACCCGATCTATATTAAATATAGGCTGATCCGCTCAGAATTTAATCTCATATTAAATCTCTATTTTTCAGTACTTACAACTTTTATTTATTTTTTTGTATTTTTAAAATAAATTATTCTAAGCTATAATCTTAGAAGCATACTCTTTTTTATTCCATAATAACCGACACTTTTGAAAATATTTTGTTCCATATTACTATATATCACTTTACGTTTTAAATACTGCAATAAATATATATTTTCATGTTTTAACCTCATTATCTCAACTCTAATCATTAACTTTCTCTTATAAACCATAAAAAATAAATGTTCTTTTAGTCACTTTTATGTGATTTTACATTTTTTGAGTTTCGTAATACTTGCGCATAGGTGAAAGAATCCAGTTATTTAGGAACAAAGTGAGTATAATATGTAGCTAAATATGAAAGTTAGTTAATTTAACATTCTTTCAATTTCACCTAACTATTATATTTTATCAATTTTAGCAAAAAAAAAAAAATGAAAAAAATGATGATTGGGAAGATGATAGTGTAAACCTTTCGTCAACTATTATTATATTCATGGGAGATGCTAAACTAGTTCAAAAGTTTTTGCTAAACTAATTTGAAAAACTCTTCACTAAATTTAATTTATTCACCAACTCTCCACAACCGTTGGATGAAAGATCAACCAAGTAGTGCAACACCACAATATATATTTGGCAGTCTATTTTAATATATGCTTTCTAGTGGTACGAGAAAAGTCCGCTAAAATATTGCGCACTTTGTGGTCAACTTATTTTGGTAGGGTGCACAAATCAACACTCCCTCCCGCTCGCAGCAGATCAGATCTCCCATAAAAAAAAAGAAGGGCAAATTACAGCCAACCCCTGAAGTATGCACAAATTACGAAAAAAACTCTCATTGTTTGGGTAATTACTGTTACCACTCTCCTTTTAAATATTATGTAATTCGGTTATTTATCGAACTAAATCGTATATTCAGTTCGGAAACCGTATCAAATATTCCAAAAATTCGATTCGATTTTACCGATTCAACATCCCTGCAGTTCTTCTGGAAGGGTTTCTTTCGTAAGATAACATAATTGAGGGGGTGACGGTAATTATCCAAACAAAAGAGGGATTTTCGGAATTTGACCATAACTAAGGTGTTGACTGTAATTTACCCAAAAACGAATATTATTACCAAAAAATGTTAACTGAATTCTCACTCCACGCGTTTTCAACGCGGCGTTTACACTTCGAGATATACTTATATATATAATTATAATACATACAGAAGCCGCAATCCGCCACCACCACTCGCCCCCATCGGAAAAAAAACAAAAACCCTAATTTCTGCTGTAATTAAATTAATGGAGAAAATGGAAAAGCCAGAAGAATTCGAGAAGGTGTTCAGCAAGTTCGACGCGAACGGCGACGGGAAGATCAGCTCCGCCGAGCTCGGCGCCGTTCTGAACGGGCTCGGCTCCAAAACCTCCGACGAGGAGGTGGCGCGTATGATGACGGAGCTGGACACCGACGGGGACGGCTTCATCGACATAGTGGAGTTCAGGAAATTCAACCGCGGTGGCGACGCCGACGCCGACGCCGAGCTGAAGGAGGCGTTCGACATGTACGACAAGGATAAGAACGGCCAGATCTCGGCGAGTGAGCTGCACGCGGTGCTCAGGACGCTGGGGGAGAACTGCTCCGTCAAGGACTGCGGCAGAATGATCGAATCATTCGACGTCGACGGCGATGGATCGATTAACTTCGACGAGTTTAAGAAGATGATGACCGGTGGTGGCTGATTCTTCTTCGTCTCCATATAGTTTTCTCTCTCCTCTCTCTAATTTTTTTCAAATGTAATTTTCTTTTTTAGGATTTTATTTTTTCCTTTTTTGTCTGCTTTCTGATTGGGTGGCTGTTATTATATGATTATTCTAACTGTTCTTGTTTCTATAATTGTTCTTTGTTTTCATGCATAAATAATTGCATAAAATTACAATTAATTTTTTTTTATTGGCTTTATTGTCATAGTTCGACTCCTATAATCGATTGTTGAAATGCTACACTCGTTGAAATAAACCGAGTCGTTTACACATATACGCACTGTGTATAATTATGTGTTATTCAACAATTAATAATCAACGAATGTATCTCACTGGGTATAACATTAAATAAACCCATATAATCTAGGGGTAATGGCAAATAGGCCCATGACAAGGGCACTTAATTAAAATAGGGACATCCAACTTTTTTGTCTTTCAAATAAATCCACCCCATTCAAACTTATTTGCACATAAGGAAAATCCCTTTATATATACCAAAATTACCCCCAATTCATTTGAAACCCAATTTAACTCCAATTTCATGATTTACACCCCAATTTAGCACAATTTCATCAATTAACCAATTTTAACCCAAATTTCAATTTTGACCCCAATTTAACCCTAATTCGTATCAATTCCACCGATTATGCTCTAACTTCTTTAATATTACACATTGACCCCGGATTTTAACAAAATATATCACATTAACCCCCAAAACTTTTTTTTTTTTCAGAAAATAATTTTTTTTCTGAAAATATTTTTTTTCCGGG